TCTAGATGCTGAGGTTGATGGAGATCTTCCCTGGTAGAACCCTCACTGGGTTCTGGTCCACATTCATGATGAAGGCCATGACCTTCTCAGTGAAGGTGTGTGTGAAGGTGTGTATGTGGGTGTCTGTGTCTGGGTCGGAGAAGGTCAGTTTTCCTGCTTCCCAGTCCAGGTTGACCTGGACCTTTTGGACCTTCCTCTGGACTGGGAGGATGTTAGCGGAACCTGCTGGGTCCAGTGCAGAGTAACTCCCTCCGTAGAACCCGATCCTCCAGAACCCGGACTGTGTGTCTCCTGTTTTGTGGACGGATTCTGGCATCAGACCCAGCAGCCAGTAGGTACTGCCTCCCACCTCCACCTCCCAGCTGTGGCTCCCTGAGCAGAACCCCTGGGAGCTCAGAACCGAGCTGTAGGACCCGATCCGCTCCGGGTTCTGAGGCAGCGGCTGCTTCTCTCCTCGCCTCAGCGTGGTCAGATCTTCAGACAGGAGGAGCTCTGGGTGGGCGGAGTTTGGGTCCAGGACCAGAGGAGTGTAGGACACCAGGTCCTTCATGCTGCTCCAGATGTTGAAGGTCAGGTTGCCCAGATGTTTGGCCTGGTCTATCAGGGCTCCTGAGGGCAGCTGTGGTTCCTCCAGCAGGGGGTGCTGGTCGACCTGCTGGGCTGCAGCCTGGTAGCACCTCAGGAAGGAGATATCTCCAGCGCTCAGCTGCTCCTCTGTGCTGCGGACTGTGTCGGACAGAGCTGCTATCTCTCTGCTCAGAGCCTCCATCTTCTCCTTCATCATCCTGCTCTTCTGCTCCTCTTCCTCCCTCAGAGAGGCCAGCCTGGCCTCCTCTTCCTCCAGCAGAAACTGATGAAGCTTCTGGAACTGGTCCCTGATCTGCCTCTCTGTGGACCGGGCCTGGACCTTCATGTGTTCTGCTGTCTGGCTGAACTCCTCCTGAACTTTCCTCCTCAGCTCCAGCTTCCTCCTCAGAGGCTCCAGGGTTTCCTGAAGCTCCTTCCTGTGCTGCTGAGCAGCCTCCTGGATGGGTGAGAAGGTGTGTCCAGCATGTTGGTGAGAACCTCTGCAGACAGGACAGACGGGCTGCTGGTGGTCCAAACAGAACAGGTCCAGACTCTCGGAGTGCAGCTGGCAGAAGCCCTCAGAGGCTCTCTGCTGCAGGAATGTCTCACACTGGCGCTGCAGAGACATGTCGATGGGAGGCTCCTCCTTGGAAAACCTCCTCCTGCAGGCCGGACATTCTGCTCCTGGCTTCTCCTTCCAGCAGGTCTTCAAACAGCCTCTGCAGAAGCTGTGATTGCAGGTCAGAACCACGGGATGCTTGAAGACCTCCTGACAGATGGAGCAGATGAGGTTCTCTGGTATGGAAGCCATGCTGAACGCTCAGACTCACTTTAAGCGCTCTGATCAGAGGAGGAAGTGAATGTTCACCTTTGACCCACTTCACTAAGAGGGAGGAGCTTCTTCCTCCTTTGGCGCAAAGCTGCTGTTCAGGCAGTAAAATGACAGAAAGCTCCAGATAAACTGGTTCTGGTTGGATCCGCAGTGATCAGAGAAACAAGGCTGGACTTTTATTCTGAAAGGGCAACTTCAGGCTCCAGCAGCACACAGACTGTCAGAGTAAAATGTTCCAGAAGAAGATCCACGAACAGAGCCCTGACCAAGATGGCAGCCGTTACCGGTTAAAACACTGAGGGAAGGATGACAGTAAAGCTGTTGGCAGAGATCATGAAATCTGTGTTTATCATGTTTATCAGCTTTAATGTTGGTATAATAACTAACTACCGTATGCTTGGTGCTCAGATTGTGGTAAATAAAGTAACCGTTAAAAGTCAAACTAGTGAAAACATGGAGGATCATTGCTGCCATCCTCTGGTTCAGAAGGGAACTGCAGCTTCCAGAGGCGGTGACGTCATGTCTTCATGGAGACTTTATTGTCATTTTGTAGCAGAGAGATCTTAGAGGACAACATGTTGGTGAAGATTCTCAGTCATCCAGATCAATAAAACGATTAAAATCAATCCTCTGGACTTTGTTTCTAAGTTTGAAGACGTTTCTCTTCCATCCAGGAAACTTTTTCAATTCAAAATGTCAGAAATAGCGTTGAGTTCAAAGTTTTATCCAGCAGCCCAACAAAGCCTTGTTTTAGTTTAGAAAACATGCAAACTGGAACAGACATCCTTTGCATTCAGATTATGACAGGGATTAGATTATAGTTGAAATAAATAATATTATATATATAAAGCGCAGCAGTGATGAGGATGAACCAGAGCAAGAACACAAACACTTAGAGAGAAAAGGAGAAGGAACGTTAGTGTGCAATAAATAATGGTGAAAAATAAACAACTATGATGTTCCTCTGATGTTCCTCTGATGTTCCTCTGATGTTCCCCTGATGATCCTCTGATG